GTGTGTGTGTGTGTGTGTGTGTGTGTGTGTGTGTGTGTGTGTGTGTGGCCATCTTGAATTCAAAATCGGAATTTCTTTGTCACATGTTTGGAGTCATAATAATCCACTGCAATGTGAGAAAGATGAGGCTTTTTTATTTTTAAACAATGAAATGAACGAACTTCTTATTGAAACTTGTGTCCTTTTATAGCTCGAACACTAAATTTGACTCTGGATCGGGTAAGTTGAACCTCTCTGGAACACTACTCTGCTTTCTTTACAGTATGGGGCTGTTTTTGCCGAGCATGTTGAATCTCTTAAGCCTAAAATTCTGTTGTGAATCTATATGAATGCTGATATTTGCTAATCATTGACCTCAACTTATTGGTTTCATATTCATATACATACAACAAAACTTTGTTTCTCTTGTTTGGGGTGAAACTCTCCATCAGTTTAACTGACTGGTCTGCTACTGACTCAATCAGTAGCAGCTCCATGAGCGCATCACAAGTATGTGTGTTGGATCCTCTTCATTCATGTTCAGCCGTGTTTCTTGCTGCTCCAGTAGTTTCATATCAGGTGATCGAGTAATGGAGTTTTTTGTGAAGCTGTGCAATCGTTTATGCTCTAAACCTCCTGAGCTGTCTGTTTGAGCATGCTCCCCCCCATCTGAACAACCTGTTTCCAGGAACACTGCTTGATCTACCTTCAAAAGTGATGAAGTCGGGTTTTCCTAAAAGCATCTAACTGATAAAAAACAATTGCTGATTTCTTGGTGTATTTGGTTATTTGGGACAGTGCCCATTAATGACACATTCCTGTAAATGCACCAGACTTAGCCAAGAGATATTTCATCTGTAGTCCCTCAGTGTTTACAGCTGGTTTGTCAAACAGAAATATTCTGTAGGGAACACAGTTAATGCGGGGACATCTTTCTATTATATTCATCTGCTCTCATACTTTGGTAGAAATATGAAGTACATGTAAAGCCAGTTAATGTAGTGCAGTTACATCCTTAAAGAAGACTGAGAGCCTACAGCCATGCCGACAGCTCTCAGGCTGTTCAACGCTAACATGGTGATGTTTAGAAGGTCTAATGTTTACCATATTAACCATCTTAGTTTAGCATGCTAACATTTGCTACTTAGGACTAAACACAAAGTGGAGCTGAGGCTGATGGGAATGTGATTCATTTTGCAGGTGTTTGGTCATATTAGTATTGGACACATTGAATCATTATGATTACCATGAATATCTTCACCAAGTTTCATGGCAATCGTTGCAGTAGTTGTCCACCTTCCTAACACGATGCCGTCATGTGTTCAGGTTGGCCGTCCTTCTTTGACCTCGTGAAGGAAGAGTCCGTCACCGTGTCAGATGATTTCTCCCATGGGATACACAGAGTGGAGACCACCTGCAGCCAGGTACACTACAAACACCCAACTACACCCTGACAGCTGGGACCCGACAGTCCAATCAAATGCACAGCGGCTTCCCCGCAGCGTTTCACAGACAAAAGAAAAGTAAATGAAATAATTGGAAAAAAATAAATATAAAATGACAGGGTGTCATATTTGACAGTGTGTTGACTTGACTGACAGGTGTCACTGCCCATCAAACCCAGAGGGTGGCTGCTCCCCCCAAGGTCTCCGCCCCTTTTCACCAAATGTGGATCTTCTGGATCCAGTAAAAAGTCTGCCCTCCTGTGTCCAGCGCTATAATCCACTTTTTGTAAATAGCTGAGCTTCCTGTCAGAAGACCATTCTTGTCTATGTTGTAAACACATTTGGCTGCCGAAAAACCTGAATCTGGCTCACCCTGTGCCACAAAACAATGTCTTTAAGGAACGCTTTGTTTCGGCCAATCAAACATATGCAAGTGCATATTCCTGATACTGTAGAACTCAAATACAAAACATTGGTGACGAGTAGTTCTAGGTATCGTTTAAAAAAATGAAGATACCAGTACTATGAAGGCAAATCACTGTCAAAATCCGAGAGCACAAATGAGATCCATGCACGCGCGAAAATCAAACAGCTGCGCGCGTATTTTACTTTGGCGAGCAAAATTCACTCTTGCGCGAGCGAAAGTCGCTCGCGAAGCTTAAACCTGCTCGCTAGCGAAACTTTTACCTGCTCGCTCGCGAGTAGTTTTTCTTTTTGACAGTAAGTGGGCGGACCCAGTCGCCATTGTATCTCTACATCTAATTGGTTATAATCCTCGTCTTTGGATAAACCGGATATCACTCTGACGCAGACGCCCGCGGCTGTTTGATTTTCGCACGAGCATGGATCTCATTTGCACTCTCGGATTTTGACAGTGATTTGCCTTCATACAGTACCCTTAAAATAATACCGACACTTCATTCGATACTTGTTATGTGAATGGAAGCTGTGTGTGTGTTCCACTGGCTAATCGCCGCCGCACTGCACATCACTCATGCAGCGGTTGCGTCGTATACCGCCGTCCCCAGACCCGCGGTGGTGGCATTGTTTAGTGGACCGTCCAGCCTCCAGGTTAAAACTGTTAGCTTTGTCAGGACTGTTGGCGTTGTTAGCGCTGTCAGCTGCTAGCTGCCCGGTCAGACATGTACGTGTTTAGAGCCGTGTGCAGGCAGGAGATCCCCGCTGCTGTACTAAGAGTTCTGCTATAGTGAAGCCATGACCCGCCCTACTCTGCCTCTGACTGGCTTGTACTTGCCTTCGTCAGTTGGATTGGTGAGGTTTAGGTACAAGGAGTGAGATTTGTTTAGGGTAAGGGTAAGAATATCAGAGGCAGAGTAGGGCAGGTCATGCATTCCTTACAGTAGGATTCATTATACCACATCCTGGCTGTGTGGGTATAGCTTCTGTGGTAGGGGACGAATCACGCGTCCCATTGAATCGAAGGCTTGCAGTGATTGGCTGTGAGCAAAACCATACAGATATTGATTTTTTCTAGATGTGGTTACATAAAGGAGCGATTGCAGCTATTCTTTGACTGGTTTTATTTTTTAGAGTTCCAATACCCAGCCGTAGTGATGAGTGAAGAATTAACCTATAAGAGTCTGTTCATTCTTGGTTAAAGACTCTGGTCTCTCTGGTCTCTCTGGCCTCTCTGGTCTCTCTGGCCTCTCTGGTCTCTCGTCTCTCTGGTCTCTCTGGCCTCTCTGGTCTCTCTAGTCTCTCTGGTCTCTCTGGCCTCTCTGGTCTCTCGTCTCTCTGGTCTCTCTGGCCTCTCTGGTCTCTCTGGCCTCTCTGGTCTCTCGTCTCTCAGGTCTCTCTAGTCTCTCTGGACTCTCTGGCCTCTCTGGTCTCTCTAGCCTCTCTGGTCTCTCTAGCCTCTCTAGTCTCTCTAGCCTCTCTGGTCTCTCTAGCCTCTCTGGTCTCTCTAGCCTCTCTGGTCTCTCTGGTCTCTGGTCTCTCTGATCTCTTTGACCACTTTTCTCTCTTTGGAGGACTTCATGTGAAATAACTTCTGACTCACGTAATTCTCCTGCTCTTCGTTCTCTCTCCTCGTCTCTCCCCCGTGTGTGTAAATCTCGCTCGAGTCGGGAAACTTGTTGGAATACCCACATTGATTGGCTGAGCAGCATCACGTGATGTGATTTACAACACATGTAATTGGTCGGAGTGTTTCCTGCACCGCTGAAGGTGCAGGTAAAGGCTGGAAAAGCTGTGCCGGTTAAAATAGAGGCGCTCTGTCAAAATGTAATCATTCTCAATGATCTATCGGTTGTAGGTCCAGGCTCCAGATACAATGACGTCTGCATGGGTCTGGATCCGAACCGCGGTCCGCCTATTGGTGACCCCTGCTGTAGAACATGTACAACTCAAATTCCAAAAAAGCTGCAAATCAATCTTTCCCGTTGTGTTTCAGTGCGGCGCTCACCTGGGACACCTGTTTGATGATGGACCAAGACCTACAGGAAGACGCTACTGCATCAACTCGGCCTCGTTGGCTTTCCAGCCCAAAGACGGGGCAGAGGGCGGAGATGCCAGCGGACCGGCCAGCGATGGGAAAACGGAGCTCTGAAAGACACTCGTGAACCGCAGCAGACCAACAACTGTGCCTGTGTAGGGAGGGTTCTCATGAATAAAGTAGTTCTGGCTCTGTGTTCTGTAAAGATAGAGGAGGTTATTGGTCAAGGAAGGAAGGTGCTCAGGCCAGTGAGAATACTCTTGATGTATAATCTATCACAAGGGAAAAGTGCACGTACCAAAACAGTCACATTCGAAGCTGCAAAACACCCTGTATCAGCTGATTGCCTTAAAGGGAACTACTTTTTCCCCTTAATTCCCTTTGGTTTGCTACGTGTGGGTAGTAGCATTTGGTCTGCTGATTTAAACATGGATGAAATGCTGCGTAGTAATAGACACATATATAAAACATAGAGCTTTTTACATTCTAACTAAAAATATTTTATTACAGTATATTTTTGAAGTGATATTTGATACTGAGAGCTCCTGTGACAGATGGCATCTTATGGTGGACAAATAAAGTACTGTGGTCTTTGGGTCACTTCCTATATTTGTTTCTTTAGCTCTTTGCAGTAAGACATTTATATTTTTTTCAGTTTGTGTTCACAGCTTGTATCTAAACAGTTACTGGATGAATAAAATATCTAGAAAACATTCTGACTTCCTTGTTCCATGCTTCCGTGTTCCTCTTTAGGAGCCGCCATTGTTTTGATCCAGCGGTCGTTTCTCAGTTTCTCAGTTTCGCCTAAGCCACACCCATAACTGCCAGTAGCTTTTTGGTGTGATCTTGTGAAGCCACGAGGGTCCACTACATCTATTAATGTGTTTGGCGTCTAGAAGTCGTCCGTCTACCTGATTCCGTGTGAATGCAGCAATATCCAGATATCTGCTCCCTACACCGGCTACATCCGCGACGACATCTGTGTGTTTACTGTGACACTAACCGGGGGCTGTACGGGCCGTGTACGTTTTGATAATTTGTTTATTGGATAAATTCCCAAGTGTCAGAAATGAAAAAACGACGGACCAGGAGACCACTGCCAGGAGGAGAGCATGCGGTGTGGCTCAGATAGCCGCCCGTGTAGCAACCCCTGAATTCAGCCACTGCAAACCCCAGGGCCGGGGTCACAGCGGGCTGCTGGTCAGAGGCAGTTTTGGGTCCGACCTAATGGCAGCAACAGAGTTTTCTGACCCAGCAGTCCCCCAGGATCACACCCCGGTGCTTCAAACTAACTGCTAAGTGAAGGTGCATCTGCGCCGGAGCTGTTGCCCGCTCTCCTTCTGCCAAAGTACTCTCCTGGTGGCGGGGGAGAACTTTGGATGTAATCCAGTAGACAAACTATCAAAACTTACAGGGACCCTGTACCTTCAACGTGATTGACAAGCAGCTCTACTTCTTTGTCCTCTCATATTGGACTGAGGACAGACTCGAGGTACAAGTGGTATTAAAAGACAGGCAGGGCCGGGGCTAGCTGGTTAGCATGCTCATTTCAGTAGATATCTCAAAACATGGACGTCTTTGACGTGACGTCAACACTGTAACGTCTTCACTTTTGGTTGACAATGTTTTAAAATAGAATTCTGGTCAGATCTTACACATTGCAACTTTAAGGCTGACAGTGGATGTTTTAGTGTTTGATTGTAAATTTTCCAGCTATTATTGGATTTCAGACTAGAAGCCTTCAGGTCACAAGGTGCCTCTCTAAACACTGGAAGTCCACAGAGGTTGGAGGTCTGGAGTGTGTGGGTGGCATGCAGGAGTGTGACATCAGCTCAGCTTGGGAAAACCTGGTGGCTAAGCCTGAGCTATGAGAGCGTTTATGTTCTGGACGCAATAAGGAATATTTACAAGTGAGGTGTGTTTAGACTGCAGAGTGGCAGCATAAAGCTTGGAGAGTAGGAGGAGGGAGGGCCCAACGTTTTATAACGTGTCATCCCCGTCCTGAGGTCACACAAACACGAGGAGGTTATCGGGACAAAATGATCTATTTACAGATGAGATGAGCGAGGAAGGCTGCAGCATGATAGCAGACAGGTTCCTGCAGCTCCATCCATCCATCCATTTTCCACCGCTTATCCGGGGTCGGGTCGCGGTGGCAGCAGGTCAAGCAGGCCGACCCAGACCTCCCTCTCACCGGCAACATGTTCCAGCTCATTCTGGGGGATCCCGAGGCGTTCCCAGGCCAGCTGGGAGATGTAATCTCTCCAGCGTGTTCTGGGTCTTCCCCGGGGTCTCTTCCCAGTTGGACG